CTCCTCTCAGTGCGTCAGTCCCGGGCCCCTCTCCCCTTCCCCATGCAGGGCCTCCTTGTCAGGAGCCCTGGCTCTCGAGCGCTGCCCCCCTTTCTCCTCTACCTCGGCGCCCAGCTCTCGAGTGCAGTCCCCCGTGAGGCCCAGGATGTGCTCACCCCCTCCAGGAGGAGCCCCACCCTACACCTTCATGCCTCTGGGGGTCCACACGCAGAGGCAGACCCCCACCCCCATGGCCCATCCAGAGCCCTGCACACTAGGCTTCCCCTCCCCTGCTGCCTGCTTGAGGACCCAGAGGGGCTCCCTCCCCAGCAGCAGGCTGTCCGAAGGGCCTGCCCCAAATGGGGACCCGGAATCATCGGGGGCCCCCCACAACAGCTCCGAGACCTTCGGGAGCGCCCCCCACTCCCACGAACTAGGCAGCATCAGGTGGCCAAACGTACCAGACCTGCGTTTGAAATACGTCAGCCAAGAGGGGTGGTCAGGCCCCCAGAGACTGCAGTTTGAGGTGGGGGAGCGCTGCCCCAAACGGGCCCCCTCCTTAAGCCTGGACACTGCTCGGTCCCCCGAGAAGGGTCCTCAGAAGGCCAGTTACTCCACCACCGTCAACATCCAGATTGGGGGCAGCGGCAGGATCGCCTCTTTTAGCAACGCCCAGGTCAGCCTGACGCATCCTCTTTCGGCCACGCTGGAGCAGCTGGGCGGCCTCCGGAGGGCCAACAGCGGCGTGGCCGAGACGTCACCAAAACCGGGCACCTGAAGCTGTGGTGGCTGGTGGTGCCAGCGGAGCCCAACGTCCTGAGGGTACTGGCTGGAGCCGGCCCTGACAGCGCAGCCCGACGGGAGGATTAAGAAGCTGGAGGGGCGGGAGCACTTCAAGGTGCAAGAGGCTGGCGTCGGCCAGCAGGTTGGCTTTTGGGTGATGGGAAGAGAGCGAAAACATGCCGGACTCCAGAGGATCGTGAGAAGGACCTTGCCTCCTTCCTCCTCACCAGGCCGAGCCTCCGTTGGTCTCGCCGCCTTGAGAGAGACCCTTCAGGCTGGAGAGGAATCAAACTGGGTTCACTGGTGGTAGCAGGAAGACCGGGCGAGGGTTAAGCAAAGCCACCTCTCTCGGGTGGGGGAAAGTTGTGTGTTAGAAATGCCCTATTGTATTGCTCCCCTTTGTACTGGTTCCGAGTCCTTTAGAAAAGAGAAAACTCTGGAATGAAAGCATCTTAGCGCATTTTGTCGGTGACAGTATGGAGGTGGTAAGGGTGTTCTCGGGACGCAGTGGCTGGACGGGGCAGGCTGTGGACATTCTCCTCTAACCTGGACCACTCCGCAGCGTCCCACCACGCTGGCTGTTTGGTGTCCTGCAACTCGGGATCCCAAATGCAGAAGGTGGCTGCCTTGGAACACGAGAAGTATTGCGGCTGCGCAGATACCATTTTTCCCGGGGTTTAATCCAGACAGGACTGTTCCCCATCATCCTGCTGGCTAGAAAGTCTGGAAAGCGCCATCCCCACAGTTGCAGGACCCCGGGTTAGAGACGGCTGAACAGTGGGGGAGGGCTGAAAACACCCAAATATTCCTCAGCCGTGCAGCCAGGTTGGCCTGGGGAAGGGAATTTTTCTCTTCCAATTAGGAGCTCCTGAACCTGAATGTTTCGCTTCTTGGATTGCGTCATAATGCCTCTGCCATGAAACTGGGTCAGAAGACCCCCAAAAGCTGCTGTCCCTGAAACATCCAAACTCGTTGCCGTGCAGCGGCTTTGCTCTGCAGCAAGGCCAGGTTTCCCACTGTGCATTTGGATCGTTTTCCAATAATGTTGTTTAAATCAGATCCTCGGGTCACCGGTTCAGCTTGGAATTCGTCCTGGAGATGTCTCATGTTTTAATATGGAATCGTTTTCTGTCAAACTTGCACGCAGTGAGCAGTCATGCTGGCCTCTGGGCGCTCTGGTGAGTCTGCCAAGTAAACATTCCAACGCCTTCACTGCAGGCTGGATTCACTCTTTTTTTAAAAAAATACTTTAGAAGCACCGATAGAGGCGAATGTGTGTAGCTCAGGGTTGAACTGTGGAGTCCTTGGGCTTCTCTGAGCTTGGTTCTTTTCTTGCAAATGTTTCATTACCCAGCTAGGTAACAACTTCAGTGCTGAAATGGGCTGGGGTTTGCCCTCTATTTATATACTGTGGCCTGCCTTGCCAGTGCTGGTGGGAGTGGGGGGTTTCCTCTGGTAGTTCCTTGATTAGCATATGCCCCCACCCCCACCAGCACTGGCAAGGCATGCCACAATATATAAACAGAGGGCAAACCCCATCCCATTTCAGCACTGAAGATGTTACCTAGCCAGGTAATGAAACGTTTGCAAGAAAAGAACCAAGCTCAGAGAACCCCAAGGACTCCACTTTTGAAGCAGTTGTGGGGCCATTTTTGAAGGGGAATCTTAAAGCTAGAATTGATCTAGAATCCATTTTACAATGGCCCAGACCCAACTCAGCTGCTGTAAATAACTAGATTATTTACAGGAGAAAACAGGCAGCGCCAAACTGTGTTTCCCTTTTAAGGGAAAATTTAGATTTGGGAGGGAAGGAGTAGTTAATCCTAACCTTACACATCCTTTTGTTTCCAAGGATGATTTATATCAGGAATGTGCACTTTTTCCACTGGACCAGATTCCAAAATCAAAAGTAATGCACCCAGCTAAGAATAAAAGGGCCAACATGGGCTCATGTTGACGGAGTAACAAATTCCTAACAAGGTAATTTGTTCTGGTGTTGGTGCATTATCTGTGCAAATTTGTGAGACTGGCAAAGCCTCTTCGAATCAACAAAAGGGCTCTAGCAGCTGTGCAAAAGTACAAGGGAAAAGCTGTGTTGCTGGCATCCTTGACGTGGTATCCTGAAGGCCCAGCTTAAATTTAGGCACCAGTCTTTCCTCAAATTTAAAAAAAAATGTACGAAAATAGGTGGAAAATGATGCATTGGGCTGAGAGAGGGTGTCTACTGAAGAGCATCAATGAGCAGAATTTTCCCTCCTGGGACAGAGGGAAGACGGATGCAGCTGCTTGCAGAGTCGATGAGCAAGAGGCTGACCGATCTGACGCTTGGGTATGATCCACAGAAATGCTCCTGCAGAAATCCCGTCATGTGAATGGGGGAGCTTGTGCAGGAAAATTGTAACGTATTGGGGAGGAATAAAATTTTGCTTATCTGCAGCAAAGGACATTGGTCTGTAGAGGTTGGATTAGCAACAGGCTGGTAAGTTCAGAGATGGGCTCTAGTTAAAGTTTTTGGTCATTAATTATGAGATGTTTTCCTTTTTCTATTGCTTTCCCTTAGAGCAGAAGTGATAATCTGTGGCCCACAGGCAGCTCCTTCCAAATAGAGACAGTCCTCTACTTACGAACAGGTTATGTTCCAAGAGGCTGTTCGTAAGTCCATTTTGTTCATAAGTCCAACCAAGTATAAAAAACATGCCTCCCAAGGCACGATGGTGCTGCCAAGCGTACGTATGCGGCACACTGTAAACTGAAGTTGCGGACAGGTTTGTTCATATCTGAGAAAGTTTGTAACTCGAAAGTTCATAAGTAGAGGACTGTCCTTATTTTTCAGCTCTTGGGGATTTCTCTGACCATGACTGGTGAAAATTGCTTGTAGTTTCCCAGTGTTTTGTAGCAGAGAACTCATGGAAACTACAAGGCCAGCCTTAAAGAGGTGTATACGGTTGAAAAGCCACCCCTCTTCCCCAGCCTTTCTCTGCATCTGCCCCCCAAACCAGCCCTGCCCATGAGATCTGGCTCCAGCTATTTGGCATCTGAGCCCTACCCAACTATCAAAGGTAAAGGCCCTTTTCCATCAGAGGGAGCCCATGGATGTCCTAAAATGCGGGGAGCTGGAATGAAGCCACACCTGGTAGGGAATGAACCTCTTCAAGGGACCAATTGCTTTTTCTGTCCTTCGCTTGTCCAATTTAAAAAATGTCTATATTTGCTGAAAGATGGGTTCTCCCAGCCGGGGGTGGGTGGGCTGGATCTGTCTGAAATTAATGCAGGAGAGTTTGTCTCCTGCTTCTGCCATCAAGGGGTTTCATCGGACTATGCTTACTACTGTTTTTATTCCTGGGGAGGGGGTGGTATTGCAGCATCATTTGGCATCCTCCATCCCTATTTTGCCTGCGGAGTCCTTGGTGCTCTCTGAGCTGGGTGGTTTGCTTGCAGACATTGCATTACCCAACTAGTAACATCATCAGTGCTGGTGAGGGTGGGGTTTTCTCCCTGGGGTCTGTCCATGTGTGGTAATGTACTGGGAAACTCTGAGCATCCCCAATGTTCAGGGTTGAACTGTGGAGTCCTTGATGCTCTCTGAGCTTGGTTGTTGCTTGCAGATATTTCATTACGTGACTAGGTAACATCTAGATCTAGGAATCATCTACAACTTACAGTTTAAGGATTGTAACAGCCACTGTGTAGGACGGACAGGTAGAAGACTAGCAGAGCGCCTCCATGAACCCCAACCTAGCAGCCAGAGAACATGATGAAAACTCCTTAATCTCACAACACGTGGACAGACTCAATCATAGTTCCAACTGGGAAACAGTGAGCATCCTAGACCAACCTAAATCCAAAAACTCTAGGGAATTCCTGGAAGCCTGGCTTTCAGACAAATCAGCCATCAATAGACACATAGAGA